CACACACACACACACACACACACACACACACACACACACACACACACACACACACACACACACTATCTATATATATATATATATATAGATAGTGTAGCTGAATCTGTTTCCTGTCTGTGTGCTATACAGTGGATCCAGGAGACAGTAATCCAATGAGTCCTGAACTGCTGTGTTAGTCAACCTGCACTGCACTCCATTCAGCTTCCTGAATGAACTGCTATTTTTGCAGCTCACCATAATCTTGGTGGTGTAGGCGCAGTTGACCCCGATGCCCAGGACAAGCAGGTCCAGGATTTTGGGAGGGATAAGGTCTGGCTCTGGCACCTTTTTGTAGTAGCGTTCCCCGATGTAGGCCTGCACCACTGTCATGCGATTCATAGTCAGTGTGCCCGTTTTATCAGAGCATATGGCAGTGGCATTGCCCATTGTCTCACAGGCATCCAGGTGGCGGACCAGGTTGTTGTCCTTCATCATTTTCTGATAAAAGACAAGAGCCATGTTACCAGTCTGTGGGTTTTATTTTGAATCAATCAAAAGAGCTCGGCTTGATCCAAGTTTGTCTGACGAGGGTTGTAATATTCCATTATTACTTTTGAAGTCCGGGTCATTACTACAATGAAAGAGGTGGACAATAAATAATTCTGTAAAAGTTGCACAAATACTGTGTGCTGCAAAAAAAGAATAGATCAAATATCTATCTGGCATGTTTCATCAGGCTAAATATGTTAGTTTTATTATAGCAAACATTTTTTAATTTCCCTTAGAAAATAAACAAACCTTGACTGAATAGGCTAGGGAGATGGTGACGGCCAGAGGGAGGCCTTCAGGTACAGCTACCACAAGCACCGTCACACCAATTATGAAGAACTTGACCAGAAATTGTATGTAGATGGGCACACACTCAGGAAGCCACACAACACCCTGAATGCAGAATGTATCGATCAGGAAGCGAGTGATGAGGATGATGACAGTGAGAGTTGACATGAACAGACCTGAAGGCAAAGACAGGCAGCGAAGAGAACAGAGGCACAGACTTTAGTTCATCTGTAGAGTTAATTGTGACCATAACAGATTAAGTGAACAGTGAGTTAAGTTCAAATTTGTTCTGGATCTATATATCTGCGTTCATTTCCACTGAACCATCTTAAAAATGCATACAACAGCGTTCATAAGTTCAGGCTTTATCAGCCCCCAGACAAATATTATGCATCTACAAAACATTTCTTCCTCTACAGTCACTCCTATATAATCACATCCTTTATGTACAATGCAAGGGCTCCACAGGCTATGGTCACACTCACTATGGACAAAATATAGTCCTTGTTTAAAACAAGTTGTTTTTAGCTTCACAACTCCTTTGAACCTTTTTAAGTGGAAGATTTAAACAAAAACGTTCACATTCTGTGAAAATACACTTCAGGAATACAAATGTCTTTCTCAGAAATGACACTCGCAAGTTAAAAGACTTGTAAATTGGAAATGTATAAACAGTGATTCGCATGAGGAAAGATTAACTAATTTCTGCTGGAATCTTTGGATGTGAGCCAGTGCTACTGCAAAGGTGCAGTTTTTGCATCCTTTACAAAATTAGTCAGACGTCTGCTGCAACGTAGAAAAACTTTACATCTGCTCTGAAACTCTCTTGGCAATCTAGGTTTGTTGTTACTTCTGATCTTGAATATTGGATTAAAGGAGATTTTTCAGGAATTACTTCCTTTTTTGAGATGCTTAATAAATCACATCCAAAACGATCATCACATAAGTTGTTCTCATCAAAGCCATGGATTCTAGTGTTCTGTTAGAACTCTTTGTTTTGTTCCTATTGTTTGTAGTTGTTCTTCGTAATCTTAGTAGCTTCCCTTGCATGCGAGCGTTCACTGAAGGATTTTTGTACAAAAAAAGCAGCTTTGCAGCTAGTCATTTTACATATTTGCCTAACAAGTAAAAGATCCCTGGATCATCTCCAGTAAGGAGACACAGATCCGATTGGGTTGCATCCAGAAAGACATCTGGTGCAAAACTCTCCCATTTCAAACATCCAGAGCGACGTGCTGTAGCAACCCATGTCTGCCAAATATGGACATCACGTCAAAAATCAACGTTAAGTGTTTCAGAGCACAGTGATGTGTGGTCTCTAAATCTAAATTAAATCTCAATAATCAGACTCTGTTTGTACCTGCTTTGCCGATCTGCACAGCCAGCTTAGTTAGCTTCCCCTGGAGGACGGATTTCTCTTTCTTTGCAATGTGTTTTTTCTTCTTCTCTGGTTCTCCCTCACCATTAAGTGGCTGCATCTCCACGGATGCTCCGTCCTTCTTCTCCCCTACAGGAAATCCAAAAGAACAAACAAAATAAATCCAAACACTTGAATGTCAAAACAGTTTTTCTCTCGTAAACTGCCCTCAGAAAACAGTGTTTATCACTAATACGCTATTAAATAAAAATTTAAAATTCCATTCAATTTTATTTTATTTACATTGTGCGAAATATCAACAATAGTCACCTCAAGGTGCTGTGTATTTTAATGCACAATAATAAAGAGAAACCCCAACAATCAAACAACCCCCTTTCAGAAAGCATATCTGCAGGTGTATATATATATATGTGAGGGTGCTGATCCCATCTCGTAACAAGGTTATTAGTGGACAGGCAGGCAGCCAGCAGTAGGCAGAAGAAGAAAGCAGCTGCCAAGCTTAAGCCCAATAATCTTCTTGGGCCTAATCATAGAGTCAGGAGCACCTGCTGCTACTGCTCAGACCACAGGGCCAAACACACTACACCATGTGGGACCACAGGGAGACAGGAGGATCTGTCAGGACCATGGGAAACTCCAAAGGAACCAAGAGTCTAACTGAACTACCTATTATAAAGCTATCATTTCCAACAGTATTTTTTGAGGGGTTGGATGATTGAAGTAACCTACCCAGAAAATAGAAGCTTTTCATGTTATACTGAACACTGAGTTGCTAATTAAATGTGTTGTGCTGTTATGCGGATGATACCCCATAATAGTTATCTATGAAATAAGATGGCATAAATCAATAAATTAAACTAGAGGCAAAAAATAAAGATCTGAATTCTACTTCTGAATTCAGGGCTGAGGTTATTGTATTGGTCCATAGAAATCTTGAAATTATATCAGATACAGATACTCTTAGGCTGGACAATTCTGTATGTTGTTCCAAAAAACCCTGAAAAGCCTGTGCAGTGAGAGTACTCACAGGGATGAGAAAGAGATCATATTTCTCTCACATTAGCTTTTCCCCATTGGTTCCCTCCCACACGAAGTCTTTTAAGGTCAGGCCCAATCATGTCTCTTCTGTGGAGCCAGTTTACGTTCAGGAGACCTTTCTACTTTTGAAATTAGGCTTCAAATTTTCCTTTCTCTTAAAACTTAGTTAAGGCTAGATGTGGTCACCATGAACCAACCCTGAAATATACCGCTGTAGGGTCAGGATGCTGGTGGACTTGATACAGTGAACATTTCTTCTCCACTCTTTTGTCCTGTCTATTTAAAGACTGCTTTTTCTCCTCTCTTTCACCTCACACTGGTTGCAGCAGATGGCTACCTCTCCCAGAGTCTTCACCTTACAATACCAAGTACCTCGAGACAACTGTTGGACATGATGTACATAAAACTACACATCAACAATAGATGATAATTTTCCAAAGTCTAATATTCAAAGACTGCGTGTGATTTCATTCAAAGAACTGTAGGAAAGGTAACCATGATTTTCAGCCTTACCTAAACAGCCTTAAGCAACCAAAACTAAGTGGATTCTTTAACTGATAAGTTAATACGGGATAATTGGAAAATATCAGATATCTGTATTTTTGTAATATAATTTAAGACTCATGCCCTAAAATATTTCTATCCACATCATCCTGTGAAATTTAAATATGGGACAGTACTCAGACCATGACTAATGATGATTCACAGGAGCACAGACTGGGAAAGGCCTCAAGTCTTTGACCCTCATAAATGTCATTGATGTCACACATTTGACCAAGAGAACTGGGTCCAGTCAAAGAGGATGAGGAACGAGCTGGTTTCTACGTGGCTCCTCAGTTTCCATTCTCCACAGAACACAGAAGCGCACAGCAGCACCCATACTGCCAAAACATATTAACTGTTAACATTATTGCTGACACATTCGGCATGGACAGATAGAGGTATGGATGCTCTGGAGTTCACTACCACAAGAAGTCGATGATCAAACCAGAGATAGCTTTAAAAACAAATTGAAGCTCTGCTGTTTAATACAACCTTCACATCAACTCATTCACACAGACAGTGATGGCATATTTGTTTGCCTACCTTTCTTGCCTTTGTCTTCTTTTTTGCCTGTAAAGAAGAAACATTTAATAGCCGTTAGTCATGCAGCACTCCTCTTTCTCCTCCTTCACTACATTCATAAATCTTTTCTATCCTTCCTCACAAAAAATATTCTTAGATTTGAGTTTATAAACCACTAAGTCTGCTGTGGCAAATGCAGGTATTGAGTCTCCAAAATGAGCAGGTTGTGTATAAATTTCGTTGGCTGGTTTTGTTGCTAATCCCAAGGAATTGTTGCTCGGTATTCTCTTTTCAGCAGGTGAGCTGTAGTCGACATAATCCCCAATTTATACACCCACGTAGTTATTAAAGACCAAGGTGTTCTTAAATAAATTACTTAATCGATTAATCAAGTAATCAAAAACCACATAATTCATTTATCACTGGCATGAATTTCATTTTCATCTTCCATTTCCACTTTATTTTTCAGGGACCATGTATAAACAGAAAAAATGAATCTTCTAAGAGAAAATATGCATTGTACCACGTTTAGCTACTAGCTAATTTCGATCTGCAGGCCATATATAAATTTTTGTGTAAATATGAGGAAGCAGCACAAATTGATGCAAATAAATTCATGGGAATGCAGGAAATTAACACTTTTTCTGTGAGAAGACCATGCATTGTTCTGCGTCTCTGTTGCTCTTATTAAAGCCATGCCTACACACATACATGACTAACCCACATACTCATACATTAAGAATGATTAATAAATTATTAAAACCTCCAAAGTCAACTGTTATCATTGTTAGGTGTTGATTGGTGTTAGCAGTTTTGCACACATAAACAAAGGAGTAGTACCTGAGCAGGAGAGGAATCTTTTGCTGTGGGTTTGAGCAATAACACTCCAATTTAAACACATGTGGACAACACGTTTTAGACATAAGTAGAACCACACTGGCATGTCAAATAGGATTCAATTCTACTGAACTTACTTTTCTTCCCCTTTGAATCTTTCCTTTTGTGTTCCTCTTTTTTCTTGTCTTTCTTGTCCTCGTTGTCACCTTCATCACCAGCACCAAGCAGGGTGAAGATTATTCCACTCTGAGAGTTCACACCCACAGCAGTGACCACCATCTTGCCAGAGCCTTCCATCACATGGGTACCTGAGAAAGTGAAAATGAAATATTTCACCAAAAAAAAAAAAAACACAAGTCACGTTGTATCTCGCTTAACAGGGTTGAGTATGGTATTTTGTAAAAAAAGGAATGCTCTTCACATCTATAAAATTAAGTGCATTTTTTAATGGCCTACGTGTCTAGATGGAGAGAGAAGATGATTTTATTAGCCAACTGGTACCCCATTATATAGATCAATTGACTAGTAATCAACAATTAGACTGCATTTGAAATGTTATATCCATCAGCCTCTGTGGGCATATGAAGCCCAGTATGTACCACAGAGAATTCTGGTCTAGTTCGTTTGCTTTCAAATTGTAGTTTTTATTCACTATAAGGACTAAAATAATAATAATAATAATAATAATAATAATAATAATAATAATAATAATAATAATAATAATAATAATAATAGTTTGTTATATGTATTGGATTGAGGCTGTAAGAACAGATTTGATGTTCCCAATTTAGGTGAGAAAATGAGAGAGGGTAGTCAGAATTAAAATCATCTGGAAAATCATCAGCCGTAATCGTCTCCAACAATGACAGCACAGGTCACAATGGTCTTGGCTGTAATTTAATGTGAAATAGTGCAGAGTGATGCACCTGACAGCAGCATGGGGTCTTTGTCAAGGTTCTTCTTGACATGATCTGACTCTCCGGTTAGAGAACTCTCATCAATCTTCAGATCGTTGCCCTGAATCAGGACACCGTCAGCAGGGAGGAGGTCACCTGGAACACAAACACTCAGGTCATTATGTTACATCACTGTTATGTCATCTGCTTGCCACATGCAGTCATACAATGTTTAGTTATTATTTGAAAATAACCATTTAAAAAAACTAATAACGCTGTTGTTGGGTTTAAACCTTCGACCATCACAAAGACAGCATGGGGATATTGTGTAGAAGGATACAATCATTTTTATATTTGACTGCAGAAGTCAGGATTTAATAGTATCAGCTGTTTATTTGTTAGTAATACCAAACTAAATGTCACCAAATGTTAGTAAAGTAAATTATTACACACATGATTTTGCTTCCTCACCATATTTGACTTGTGCAATGTCACCAACCACAATCTCGGACACTTTGATCTGGATCACCTGCCCCCCTCGAACCACCGTGAACTTCTGCTCCTGCTCGATGCGGTTCTGGAGGCCACGGAACTGCTTCTCTTTGCTCCAGTCATTGAAGGCCGTCACGAGCACCACACACACCACAGACAAGAGGATGGCAGCGCCTTCGATCCATCCAGCCTCTGCCTCGCTCTCATCATCCACGCCGCCAGCTGCACTGCCACAGTCTAAACAGAGACACATCAGCTAGAACTTTTATGAACATTTTTCAGTTTCAGTCTTACATGACCTTCTGTCTGTTAACAGTGCCTCACATGCCACTTTCAAACACAAGTTGACGTTTACTCAACTGTTGGGTGCACCATGGTGAAATCGCAGAGTGCACAGTGAAAGTAGCCATAACAGAAATGCCAGGAAGGACCAGCACTTAACATTGTCTGGAGATGCATCGTAGGATGGACTTGTCAGGAGCTTTCAGGGTTTTATTAGAACTGAAGCTCGGAGCTAGTTTGGAGAAGCTGCAGCTTGTTAGATGAAGTTGATGTTAATTATTACAGCATTATTATTATTATTATTATGATTACAGTGACAATGACAGATGAACCAGGTATATCATTTGAAATGCATATGTGTGTTTGTCCCTCTGCACAATAAAGTCAAGCTGAGCTTTCATATACAATACAGGACATTTTATTAGGTATATCCACTGAACTGCTGATTAACACAAATATTTAACCAAGCAGATTGGCAACAGCTCAATGACTTTAGCTGGATCTACTGTGATTTTCCCACACAACCATTTCTAGGGCTCACAGAGAATGGAGAAAATTTCCAGACTCCTTAAAGCTGATAAAAAGGAAACAGTAACTCAAATAACTAACAAGGTACAACCAAAGGTATGCAGAGGAGCATCTGTTAATGCACAACACATTGAACCCTGAAGCAGATGTGCTACAGCAGCAGAAGACAATACAGCTGGGACTATATGTGCATACACTCATCAAAGGTGATCAAATAAAGACTGTAAAAAATATTTCCTGATCTAATGAGTCTCAGTTCCCGGTGAGACGTTCTGACGGTAGGGTCAGACTTGGCATAAATAATAGGAAAGGTATGTAATGGTGTGGGGGATATTTTCTTAGTACACTTTGGCACAAACAGAGTATCATTTAAAGCCCACAGCCTTCCTGAGACTCGCTGCTGATAATCTCCATCCCTTTATGCCCATTGTGTAGCCAACATCTGATAGCTGCTTCCAGCAGAGTAAAGAAGCATTTCACAACTCTGGAGCAAATGTGTGATGCCATCATATCAATATAGACTGAAATCTTTGAGAATTGTTTCCAGGACCTTGTTGAATCTACTTCATGACAAATTACAGCCAAAATTGGAACTGGCCTAACACCAGTACCAGGAAGACTACTTTGCTGAAATGTTGGTGTGGAAACCAGTTCACCTTCATACAAGCTCATTACACTGAACACATGATGGACTCTAACTTTTCTAATGATCAGATATTGACCCGTCACAGCTCTACTACTAAAAATGTTGAGGCATCAGCGAGACACCTGGATACTCATAGACTAGTTTGCTTTTCAAGTAACGAAAACTACTCACTCTGTCTCTCAGCATCTGGTGGATGATAGAAAGAAAGGCCTAGTGAAATGATGGCTGCCACCTCCAGGATGATGAGTGTGACATCTTGCAGGGCTTCCCACACTAACTGCAAAAAGGTTTTTGGCTTCTTTGGAGGGATGATGTTAAGTCCAAACACCTCTTTCCTTCTGTCGATATCTTCCGATTTTCCATCTAAGCCTGCAGTAGGAGACACAAAGATAAAATGACTCCATATTCGTTCAGCTGAACATGGATCACACCTTCAACCTGACATGTATTTAGAACTAATTGAGCTGTTTGCTGTCTGTTTTACGAGGGGTGAAACACAACTGTTAGTTCACAGTGTAATATTACTTGTTCAAATGTGTCATCAATATCACATTTTCAGATTGATCTTTTAAATGCACGCTCAAGATGAATTTGATCTAGGTAGCCAAAGATGTAATAAGGCAACACTGTGGCCTATGATGTGCTCGATGAGAATGCATTCAAAAATCAAATAAAAATAAAAAAACAACCGATGAAATATACAGTGATGGTATTGCCTTGATGTCTTAAGAAAGTATCATAAAGTGATACAGATTTGCATCTCCCTCTGGATCCAGAGCCTCAGCTAATGTATGTCGTGGAAGGAAATTTTCTTCCTTGGAGAAGCTGTAGTCTCAGATGGCTCTTGTTCTAAATGTAACACATCGGTTATCACACTTGGTGTTTGTGTCTCTTCAGTAATATTGTGTTGTGCGGGAGCAAAGAGCAGAGCGGTTTCCCCTCTGTGGAGTAGAACAACATGTCAGGACACACTCCGATCCCCTAAGAGACACTGCAGCTGCTGCGTGGCTGCAGCTGGCTCCGTCAGTTGTAACTGGTTTTTAACCCAACATTTCTCTTCATGTTGTCTGAAAATGAAACACAGTGAGCAGAGTGCTGTGCATTCTCCGAATGTTTAGGTAAGTGGGATTACACTAAGAGTTTATGTCATCTGTCCCCAGCTGTCGATACAAAGAGAAATAAAGCAGCAGAATGGATTTTCCAGTCAATTCAACCTGCTGCTGACATTTTACTCTCAGCAGGAGTCGAAGCACTGAAAGTGTTTACCGAGCGCGTGGAAGACGGACAGACTGAATGAATTAATAATGGGGGGGAAATGTCAAAGGGCAGACGTATGAGACAAGCTCAGCAAAGACAAACCTAATGCGTTGTCTGTAGGTCACTATAAGACACCCTGTGTGGGTCAGTATTCAGATAAAGTTTAATAGGAAACCTTAAGTTAAAGTCCAACTTAGGCACAAAAAAGCAAAAGAAGCAAAGGCATTATAAACAAGAAACGCTGACTTGAGAGAAAGCTCCAGAGGAGACAAGCTTCTCATTTCAGAACAAAGTCAGCAAATATTTTGAGTAAATGAGCAGATTTGACTTGTGGGTGCTTTAAGAAAAGGAAAATAAAAGTGAAAGATAAAACTACTAAACACACCTGAACACTAACTAACTGGTAAAAGTGGACTGGCAAGGAGTGTGATTTTTCCAGTGAACAGTCTAATATACTTGTTCACAGAAGAAAGAAATTTCACGATTACATTAAGAAGAAAAAACACACATGTAAAATAGATTGTTGACATCCGATCCACAAATAAATAATTTGAGCTACCCTCACTGTGAGCAAGTAAACCAATCCCTGTTTAAGACAAACGGTTATTTCCTCTTCTTCTTCTTGATGAGCCACATGTTTGATTTGGCAGAGATTTATTGCCAGATGCCCTTCCAGAGACATTTCTCCCCATTTGTCCGAGCTACACTGGAGTTGCCCTCACCTCCAACAACATACATTTATGGTTGGTTTACACAACTTGTGTGTGTTTGTGTATGCATGTGTAGCTGTATATATCCACATGTGCTTGAGAGTCACCATCTACCAGGACCAGATTCCTTGTATGTGTCTGTGCATATACATGGCCAATAAACGTGATTCTGATTCTGATCTTTACAGCTACAGAAAAAATAGAAGAAAAAAACACTTTTATCCCCACTGCAACGAATCCTCTACTTGAATATTTTTGAACACAATGTGCTTTTCTCTGCCCAGAAACTGACAGAGAGCAGAGCAACAGGAGCTGCAGGTCACAGATGACTTTGACCATCACACAGTCAACAGTCCCTGAAGACTAATGAACCTAGTATGTCCTCTGCTGTTTTAATGATGCCCACGCCGGGAGGGGAGGTCAGTGAGTCAGTAGTGAAGAGTTCTAAATTTATTCAAAATCATAACTTTGAGGTGTATGCAGAAGTTTGCACACCCTGTGCTTGCTTCACATTTAATGCACTGTTACTTTCCATAAATGATTTTTTAAAAATGAAGCAAACTGAGTAGCCTGTGCAAATGTTTGAGCTCTTAATTTAATCTGAAGTTTAATCTTAGATTCACATCTGTGATACTGTGACACTGCAACTAGGAGTCAGTTTTGTAGGGACACAAAGGAAATACAATTTCTGAACATATTTACCATCGACAGGTGACGTCCTCAGCCGGGCGCACAGTCCATTAACTTCACTATAAGATTCCTGGATTCTAGCAACTGCCTCCTCTCCTCTAAGTTCCATGAGGGAGCGCAGCTCCTGGACTGAGCAGCTGAACTCTGCATCGTGGTTGGCCTCGCCACGTCGGACATATTTGGACCCACTAAAAGAGTTGTTGGTCATTTTTCCTTTCTTGGGGACTCAGCAGAGGCCTTCTCAAATAGACTCAGTGGTAGGCCTGAGGTACCGATGTAGCCTGACAGGGACTCTGTGACTGTTGAGAGAAAGATAAGTCCTGATAACATCAGGATATACGCTGTACTGCAGAAAGAATAATACACTTATTACCACAAAAAAGATGGGATTGGACAGGACGGTGACATCTCTGGTATGATTTCTTGGAAAGTAAAGGTTTGCACATTCTACACATTGCATATGATGAATTTTAATTCGTCTACTTCTTATGATTCTACATCTTCAGATTTGTTTTTTTATAAATAAATAATGTAAAAAAAAAGTACTTTTTGCAATCCCAAGCAGTTCATTTCAAAATATCATCATTGTCATCATGCAATACAAGTTTTACTTCACTTCATTTCAGCTACCTCAAGGTATTTTAAAAGATAGAAACTCTACAAAATCAGGGTGGAACTTCCAACAATCAGATGAGCAGCCTCCAGTGGATAAGGCTCAAGTAGGGGAAGCCATTTATCATGACTGATTTGTGTGAGGGGAAAGGAGGGCATAGACAAACTATGAGAAAAAACACATACAAAACACAGAAGAGCAGAAAAGTTAATGGCATCTAGTAGTAGCATGCAAGTACATAAGGAATGCTCAGTGCACAATGGGAAGTCCTCCAGCAGCCTACAACAGCATAACTGAGGGTCCTGGTAGCTGAAAACTCTCTCTGTGCTACTTTTAGATACTCTTAGAACCACAAGCCTGCAGTCTGAAAGCAAAGTGTTCTGTTGGTATACTATGATGCCAAATATAATGATAGATGAAATTGATTTGAAATTCAGCCCTGGATTTATTAGGGGGCTGTGAAGGAGACAATATGGCAATATAGTCTGTGTTTGTAGTCCCTGTTAGTGCTCTCACTGAAACTTTTTGGATCACCTGAAAAGAATTTCATTCATTTAACATAAATATCTGCAACCACTAAAGCTGCTGTACCTGATCAGCCATTCATGGAAAGGCTCTTTCTAATGTTTTGTAATTTATAAAGAAAAAGGCAAGGACATGAAAACTAGTGGGCAACAACACGATGGACAATAGTATGAAAACAGTATTATAAGCTTCTTCACAATTAAAATCTCATTACAATCCAGTATTTACTCAACCGCATGCTTACGAGATCGTCTTAAGTCCTTTACATTAGAAACCAGCTCCATGAGACACAAATCAGCCAAGCAGGACCCAGTAGAGCTAATTTTATTTCAATCAAGCACAATGTTCTCCCCTCAATGGTTAACAGGAGCTCAGACTGAATATGTAACAGTGTGTGGAGTAGAGATTTGTCCCTGCTCCTATGTGAACTGAAACCCTTTATATTTGTGCCTCACAGGTTGTGACCTCTGTGCCTTTAGCTGTAATCTGTGTCAATCAGTCAGCCTGGGCTTAATCTGAGAGAGGGAGAAACAGCCTATCTGTTTAAGGCTGAGGCAGAGGAAGAAAAGAGTGACTGAGAGAAGAGCAGGATGGACAGAAGTCAAAATAGTCATTGAAGTTTTGCTGCTCACTGTACCTTAGTATGGCTTTACTACGAATTCTAACCAACAATTAAGAACCACAAATGGTTTCATGCTGTAAAATATAAACCTAAGTGCAGCTGTAAATGTTCACATTAGAAGGAAATCTCAAATTATCTATTATTAATTAATTAACCATCAGAACAGCAAAACAAAGTAAAACTGCATAAGTAATGAATAAATTCCACGGGAAGTCATCCACACAAATACAAAAAAACAGAAACACATCCAGGTTTCATGACAAAAACACAACTTGAAGCCATTTCTAATAATAAAAAAAACAACAACAATCCATTACTGTAGCACTGAGAAGAAGAAAAGCTTTACTTACAGAAACTTCCCCCATCACCTCCTGTTAGCAGCAGCAGGTATTAGTGGTGGTCCGATTACTGTGAGCAGCGACACACTCACAGCTCCAGAAACAGCCCATAACCCGGAGACAGCTCCTCAGCGGGCAGTCTGCAGAACAGCACCAAGACCCCAGTTTACTACCCAAACTGGTCCTTTTTCAGCGTGACCTTCAGCAAGCTCGCAGTTTCAAACAGCTCTCTTTATCAGAGGAAAAAACAGGAGCTGGCTGAATGATTATCTGAGGAAAGCCTCGCTTAATCTAATTAGACAATCTGTGGCTTCACTGAGTGCCAGAGAGACCGCTGCTGCAGCTCCTCCTGCTGAGAGCGACATGCCAAGTCCACACACGAACTACGTCTACACCTGCTGCATCCTCTGACTGAAAGGCACACAGCAGGCGTACACTCACCAGGTCAACACACACACCCCATCTAAACCTGCTGCTGCTGTGCTTCATACTCCAGAAAGGGTGCGCATTGAGTCCACATATAGCACTGAGACTCCTCCTGCTGAGATGAACCAATTAGATCTAAACAGACCAAACTGTGAAGGTGAATGCAAGTGGTCGGACGTTACAGCCTGACAACCAACTGCAGCCCCAAAGGAAAGTAGTTCAGTACATAACCATCAGCACGACTTCTCATGGAGAATTCCATGAAACAGTCCAACTGTTTGCTCTACTGTGGTCTTTTCACTTTGTTACACACACTTCATCACCCTGAGCAGCAATGATGCATGATGACGTCATGTGACACACACGCACACACACGGATTACAGTACACAATGACATAGAAGGATTAACTGAGTGTGCACACACACACACACACACACACACACACAGGATAATATCACTCTTTCGTATTTACGTTCTAGTATTTTTGTTTTGATCTAACATGATCTTTGACCCCACGCTCTAAAGAGGTCTACACAGCAGTAGTTTAAGGATTGGCTCGACAGATCAGTGATGGACTACTAAGACCAAAGCTCTGGATTCACTGCTTAACAAAAACCACAGTTGATCAAAATGTTTCTATATTCTCTGCATACAACCATGACGAGCCATGAAAGGAAAAACAAACAGAACACAACACACAGAAAAGAAATCAAAGACTACTTTGACAAAGGCAAAACCAGGGCTATGCAGAAGGTACAGGCCAGAAGTTTACCCATCATGAGCAAACCCCCAAATTTTGGTAATTTGGGGGTTTAAATTATTTCTTTGAACTTCTTTTTTTTTCTTCTTTTTTTAAGTTTTTTTGGGGGGAAGGAAGCATATATCTTTGAGGGCTTTAAAAAAGAAGAACTGAATGTACAAGTATGAGGTGAAGCTAAAGAATTTGGAGGTAGGTAGGCTACTGAAAGAGGAAACCTTGCCCTAAACAACTGATGAGCCTAGCATGATTGACCTGGAAGCAACATCCCAAAGATGTTCTATCTTTGAGGTCAGGACTCTGTTCAGGCCAGGCAAGTGCTCCCAAATCAGATTCTGTCATCCATGCCTTTGTGGACCTTGCTTTGTGCACTGGTGTGCATTCATGTACAGGCCGTACAGTAAAGACTTGACAGCTATTTAACACTTCAATTCAATTTTTAAAGCTTTGCCTGTCCTTCAAGCAAACTGGAGAGCTATTCCTGAAGACTACTTAAAGAAATTACAAGAAAGCTTGCCTAAGAGAGTGGCTGTGTTGAAGAATGGCTATCTCTACAGTTTCCCAAAGTGACACCATCAGTGCTTTTATTTTGTTACACTGACAGTATACAGCTCATAATTGTGAACAATAAATTAAATATTTATAAATTTTCACATTTAGATAAACTACAATCACGTAATTTGGGGTATTTTGCATGGATTGCACCATAAAACTGTTAAAATGCATTAATAATTTTCTTTGTTTAGATGTAGTTTTTATCATGTTTATATTACAAACATCTACCTTTTGTAAATTGAAAACAGGTTTTGTTTTTTGTTTTTGTTTGTTTGTTTTTAAATTGAAAACAGGTACTGTGAGACACAAGTAGTAAAGTAACTACCCTAAGCAGGACAGAAAGAGCGACCTCTTGTGGATAAAACAGACACTTCTGCAGATTTTAAACATCCACATGAGGAGGGCCCTGCTTATATTATCGGAGCTACTGAGACCCTGTCGTTGCAGATCACCTGATCAAAGTCTGCTAAATGTCCCACGCTTTTACTTTAAAATCAGAATCAGAGGCGATCACGTTTTTGAGGCAATAGTGCCCAAACTTTGTAATAACCTTCAGCATAATGGTCACATTCTACCTGATCAGCTGAATCCGTAATTTGTTTTAAACAACTGCCGAAAACATTTTTTATATATATTTTAGTGTTCTCATAATGATTTCCCCATCCGACAGTCTCGGTCGTTGTGTCCTTGGGCAAGACACTTCACCCGCTGTCTACTGGTGGTGGTCAGAGGGCCCGGTGGCCCCGGTGGCAACAGTGTCCGGCAGCCTCCCCTCTGTCAGTGCGCCCCAGGACAGCTGTGGCTACAATGTAGCTTGCCATCAATAGTGTGTGAATGGGTGGATGACTGAATGTAGTGTAAAGCGCTTTGGGGTCCTTAGGGACTAAGTAAAGCGCTATACAAATACAGGCTATTTACCATTATTCGACCTTAGTTTGCATCTATTTGTGTGTAAGTTAAGTATGTATGTTAGAATGGACGTCTGACCGGATGGCTATTAATGAGTCTGTATGATAGGACTGTATTCTTTAAAAAGTGATACACAAATAAAGGTATTATTGTTGATGTTATTGTTGTTGTTTGTTTTTCCACTCTTCATTTATTGCCCTTTTTGTGTGGTATATGCTTAAAGTCTTTGTTAAGGCATCAGTACTCAGCTAGTGTAATGCAGAAACACAAAGAAGGCGAGAACTATTTTGGAGTCTTCTGTCGTCATTGAAGCGGTAATACTAACGACACCTTAACGTTGTCGAAAAAAAACAAAAAACCTTAACGTTGTCGACGAAGAAGAAAGGCGGTCACGTGTCCGCCACGTGAACAGCTGATCGTGACGTCATTCAGCAACAAGCAACATGGCGGAGTGGAACAGAGGTAAATGTTTTGACACGTATTCACTTCCAAATATTCAGTTGTGTGTTATTTGTGTCAGCTTAGAGATGATGTTACAGCTGGGTGGTACATTTTAAAATGTTATTTTTAAGTATCATTTGCTCGTATAACACCCAAATCTCAAGAGCTAAGCTAACTAGCTCTGACATACTTAAATATTAGCAAAAAGCAAGGCTACCTTGTAAGTTTCATATCAATTGCTATCGCCCTCTAAAGAAGCATCTGCCTCTCTGAAGGGTGATAAAAAGTGATATTATTATTATTAGTAGTAGTAGTAGTAGTATCTTATTAGTTTCCCAAATATGGGATAAGTAATACTCCTCGGCAGTGTTGTAAGTTTACTTCACGTCGTTATTCCGTGCTTAGCTTAAAGGGTTGGATTTATAAAGAACATCCCTTCAGCAGAGACTCTGCTCCACACTCAGATCATGCTGATATCAAAATCATTGATGAAAACGTGTTGTTTCCTGTTGATTTAAACCGAAAATTAGAAACATTACCTATTCTTTAAGAAGTTATGTGTTCAGAACTATGTGCTTGGCAAAATCTTATGAGGTCTATCTGCGGTTTTCAACAGAAACATAACAATTCAAGGAACATTCAGATCTTGTGTGTCATATCTAATCCACGGTGTTTGTGCTTGTCCAGGCCATGGCTCTGTGGATGATGTGCTCGATGTTGAAAACAAACGGCTGGCAGAGAACCTGGCCAACAAAGTGTCCAGACTGAAATCTGTGGGTAACAACCAACAACCGTCCCCTTCAGCGACCAGTCTGATTAATAAATCAGCTGGTCTGTAGTTACTAGGTTACTGCTGTCAAATGTACTTAGTTTTAATTATAAGTAAAGCTGTCAGTTCCCAGAAGCAGAATTATTAATTATGCCAAACACAACCAGTTTTGTTATTTAATGTACTGATACATGGCTTATTGCTTGTAAGAATTTCAGGTGTAGAATAGAATAGAATAGAATAATCCTTTAATTGTCCCACAAGGGGAAATTTGGTTGTATCAGCAGCAAAAAACATACATATACAAAAAGAACAGGACGCCGAACAGAAAACACAATATTTACATATTTACATCATGGACAATAGTTACCAGAGCAGAGTACAGTACAGTTGTTAAAATTAGCATACAGATTGTGTGCAAACAGAACAGGATACTGAAAGATGTTTAAATAGTTAAGAATATTTAGAATAATTAGAAAAGTGCAGATTGTGTATTGTACCTGTGCATTAAAAAGTAGATATGTAACTTACAGTAAGTTAGTGTATATATTAGCTGAGAAAAAGTGATGTGCCGTTATAACAGTAGAAGTTGTTGCAGCAAATGCATTACACAGCAAATGTGTAACCAAATGCATCACTGGTGCAATGGTTGTCTTTTATTAATAAATGTACAGCATTGTGAAAATTTGAAAATTGTACAACCAGTGCCTCCAGTGTAAGATGGGACACCATCAGGCACTTCTACATAGTTACATGATATTAAGATTTTTTCACACCAAGCTTCAGGCTCTTCATGGTTCAGAACAATCCTCTGGGCATTTACTGTACACTAATGAAAACAACTTGTTTACATAGAGTCAAGACAATTAGTCTGCCTACTATACTGACAAGACATCTATAAAGATTACTGTTATTTTTTAGACTGATTCAAAATTTCTGTTATGCTTAAATAAATGACTCATAATTGGTTTAAATCTTGTAGAAATTGTCCCTGATTCAAACCTCTTTGGGGATCCAGAAAATATTTTATGCATTTTCACAGACTTTGACAAATGAGTCGTGTCTGTTTTTAGCAAAGAGTTGTGTTTTAAATCCCTACAACGTCCTGTTTAGTTGGACATCTTCCAATCTGCGCTAAGCTGGTTAGGTACTCAGTGACAGAGCAACAGCCTAAAAGGATAAAGGGTAACCAAGAAGATGTTTGCTTTCCTGTTCTACATTTTCCTCTGCTGTGCCATTCGCTTTTCAGAATCTGCTCTCATGTTCTTTCTTCTGCCTGTAGTCTAACCCTGAGATGATTTAAAACTTCACTTGTTACAAGTGATTGCTTATTAGTACATTTTTGCATGAAATTTCACATTTTAGGACATGATAAAAATAATCTAAAATAGAAAATAATAGTCCTTACAGGTTTCAAAATGGTTTAAATTCAACCTCAGGTGAGCAAGAACATATGTCATAGGAATTAAGAGAGTAAGTAGCACCCGGGTGAAAGTGAAAGTGGCCTCCATAAAAGTAAACGTTTTGACAGTTTGCTGGTCTGCCACAGTCAGACTTCTACAAATAACTTGATCATCTTCTTGTCTCTGTATCTCGCAGTTGGCTTACGACATCGACAGAGAAGTGGACGATCAGAATGAGTACCTGGATGGCATGGTGAGCGTTTCCTGCCTTAAACACAAATATAGTTAAGCTTTTAGTAAAAAAAGAACTGACATTTTAATTTCTCCCATTTGTCTATAATGAGAATATTGTTTTAAATATTCACTGAGTTTCACCCTGTTGTATTTTCACGATGGCTCCTCTGAACTGTTTAGTGAATTGTTCAATCTACAGGTTTCACTGGGACCTAACATTCAGGAAACAGTTTTATAAAGTCCCAGTATAAAAAATGAGCACTGTGTTGATTGTCAGAATCTGTGTGGATTGATTCATTTGGTAAACAGAGTGCACATTATATAAGTACAAATCAATACTATCTCAAATATAGGCTGTTTTATTTTTTCTCTTAGGTCAATTTATTGTGAATTATTAAAGAATTATCTCTTCTTTCTTTTAGGACTCAAACTTCATGAGTGCGACAGGCCTGCTCACTGGCAGCGTGAAACGTTTCTCCACCATGGTCCGATCAGGACGAGACAACCGCCGTATCCTGTGTTACGTCTCCATGGGGATGGTCCTGGTCTTCCTTGTTCTTTACTACCTGGTGTCCAGGATCCACCAATAACTGGGAAAACAAGATCAGCCAGGCTCTGATATGGAGCTGAGACTTTAGACTGTAATGTCAAAACTGATTTAAATAAAGACTTTTTTTATTTTGCACCAAAGAAAGAAAGCACGACGTAGGCAAAATTGGATTGACCAGTTGGAGGTGTCAGTCAGCCCACCGGAGGAAACTGTAGTGGGCGTGGTCACATCAATGAGACACCTGAACTTTGGGATCTTTGAGTTGGAAGACAACAGAGCCCGGACGCTCGGGAGGTGGGAATGTCATTCACCATATCCGAGTCTAATTGATTGATGAACCTGTCAATCAGGAGAAAATTTCCAAAAAATCAGTTTGAGTTTTCACACCTAGAGCTTGTTTATCTTCCTCCGAGTCCATCTTGTTTCAGTTCTTGTCACATACAAAAACATCTAACAGCCAAAATGCATCACAAACATACAACACTGTAAGTATTAGGCACATATTTGTCATGCAGGAGAGAGAAAATACAGAAAATATAGAAATGGTGGTGCTGTGTTTAGTCCAAACACCAGTAAGCCACCACATTAAAATTACATGCATAATACATTAACATAAGACTTGTGTTCAGTGTCCTGTGATTTGTGGTCTATATTTATGCTATATTACCACATTCACCTGCATAAATGAGTCACAACAAGAGGGAAACTGAATCAAGAGTCCGACTGTACTAAAGTCAACAACTGGGAAATAATCTGAGATTTTAGTCAGTGTAATGCTCTGCAATGTTGACATTTCTCTCTATCTATGTTTGGTGTTTCCTACTGTCTCACAATGAAGTGCAAGGAAGGAAATGACTGACGAGGCAGAGGTCAAAAAGTTTTATATGTGGAAAATATAGCAATTTTTAATTTGTCCAAAATTAATTGTGTTTGTTACTGCTAGGGCAAACATATGAAGGTCAAACACGCATATATTCATTATTTTGGGGCACTAAAACTAATCAGTCCACCCCACTAGTACAAAAAGTGGTACCATCTGCTTTTGGCTGGTCTTGGTCTTGTCACTGCATTTTGAAAGATAGCTCTTAAGACTTTTTACATGTTCATATGTTATTAGCCATCCTTTCAGTATGTTTGCAATCCAGACTGTTTTTATAATTATAAGAAATGTTGGGACCTATCCTAACCTGTTGATGGGTTACAAGAATATTCATATCATTTTCTTTGTTTCTTTTTTCTTCCACTTTCAGTCACTGAAACAGATATTTGTAATTCTTGAAGAGTTGAAAGTTATATTATTTTCTTATAGTTGAGCATGGGCGAAAGAAATCATTAATACAGATCTAATGAATTATTTAAATTGTAGAAAATGTTGAGGATAATTTATTTAAGTTCTGGTAGTTATGGGCACTGCTACAGATTAATAATACTATTTTAATTAAATACGCATATTTTCAGAACCATAGTGTGCAAAAAAAAATTGATGATCAAATGAAAAGAAATAAAACATTCATTAGACAACTTCACAATATTTTAAGTAGTTTTTTTGTTACCATAAAATAGTCACCAGCACACAAACACAGCAGGTAAACACTACGAACAACAGTACACCAAATACAATTACATCAAGAACAAAAAATTTACATTTTAAAAAGAATTTCTGAGAAAAACAAGAAAATGAACACATCTAATATAAACATTTGTATGGGGTGCCTGTAGTGCTGTGTTGCTTTGTCCTTTCGGGTTAGTTCGTGTTCTTTCGGCAATTTCCGGTGTTATCTCCTTCTTCAGACTTGATGAAAATACAAAGAACGGGAAGCCCTCCTCTCTCCGTATTAGCTGAGTCGAGTCCTTTGTGGTTACCTGAATTTTTTGAGAACATTTTAAAGATTACCCGTAAACAGTTCCGTTTGCGGAGATTTCTGTCTGCTCCGTACAGGGCTCGGGTGAGGTCGAACCCACTCTGCCCGACGTCCTTTCTCGGTGACTTTCGGCTCTTGTCGTTCGAGGGAGGAATGGACGAAGCGGACTCGGCAACGAAAGCGCTCGGGCTGGATGAACCGCCCATCGGCGAGCCGTCGGTGGAGGGAGTGGGCTCGGATACCGAGTCGGAGGCCGAAGTTACCACGATGGCTGTGATGGCGGAACCGGGAAACATCGGCTTAGGAGCCGAGTCCCTACCGAACCCAGACGAGGCCGAGGCTGCCTTTGCAGGTAACACGGGCTACAGTTAGCAGCAGGCCGCTGCTGTGCGAGGTGGCGCTAAAACACAAACTGAGATAATAACGTTAGCACCAGCTGCCTCTTAACCAAACACTGTTTATGTACGGGCACTGCTTTAAACGGGGAGAACATTGTTATCTGCTGAATACATTATTTATTATTCAGAAAAGTTAATGATTCATAAGAGAGACGCTTGAAGATGTGTTTTTAAAAAATAAAAACTCGGGTGGCCCAGGTGGCAAACACCGAGGAAACCACAAACATGGGATAGGGGCCAACGCAAAACCAATAATAAATGCAGTGGGGAAGACAGGTATAGAAAATACTGATTTTCAATCTCACGTACATCCTTTTGCCCTCATACAAATGTTGTTATTGTTGAAACTAACCCTGCTAATGAGATTAAACGTCTTTGTGTTGTGGAAAGATTGCATTGCAAAGTGCTAAACTAAGTGGTAGCATCAAAACATGCTTGATCTAATAAAGTTTCTTTATTTAGAATTATATACATTATATACTGAGTCTGCACAAGGGAGACTCAGCCAATGTAGCAGCAATGCAAACTCAAAATACAAAATGTATACACATATATTTATACAAATGCTAAAGACAAAAAAACAAACAGATAAAACGTAGTATCTCAATCACATTTCACATTTTAAATTCCATTTAAATTCAGCAGTAGATACTGTAAAAGCATATTTAGTGTTTAGTATGAAAATACTGTGTTACCCTGATCTGGTGAAACCCATGGAACGTTAAAAAGTAAAAATGTGAAAGCTTCGGATGGATACTACAATAAAATACTTGATTTTCAGCCAAGTGTACATGAGCAAACATGTAACATGATCTTTTCACCATGTTATCAATGATTAAAAGTAAAGAGTTGTCCTTCTACCTTCTACTTCTTTAATAGTTCCAGTTAGCTACAGGATTGTGCAAAACCTTGAGCCAGCCCTTCTTTATATTTTGTTTGGGAAATGGGTGCAGTAGTTTATTGAAACGTACAAACAAACATGGAAATACTGTGTACATAAGGCAAAACTAAAGTCTTTATAATTCTGATGATTTTAAAAGTCAATATTTGGTATGAATATCTTTAAGGAAGCTTTCTTTTAACTTCTTTAAATAGTCTTCAGGAATAGTAATTCAAGGACACTCAAAATCTCTTCTTTAGATGCAGTCTTTTGTTCCCTGTCATGATGAGAGATTTGGGAGATTAACAGTACTCTAGTCCAGTGGAATTGGTGAGGGTGTATGGGTCAGGCAGCTCATTATGGTAAATGGTAAATGGCCTGTATTTGTATAGCGCTTTACTAGTCCCTAAGGACCCCAAAGCGCTTTACACATCCAGTCATCCACCCATTCACACACACATTCACACACTGGTGATGGCAGCTACATTGTAGCCACAGCTGTCCTGGGGCGCACTGAGAGAGGCGAGGCTGCCGGACACTGGCGCCACCGGGCCCTCTGACCACCACCAGTAGGCAGCGGGTGAAGTGTCTTGTCCAAGGACACAACGACTGAGACTGTCCGAGCCGGGGCTCGAACCGGCAACCTTCCGATTACGGACACACCGTTGTGTGCGATGCCACATTCCATCCGAAAATTCTAATCATGTATTTGTCCCAAGTATAATATTTCCCGTCATCCATCCGTTCATTTCCTTCTGCTTAAACTTTATTATTTAAAGCCTGAGAGTAATGTTATGGTGTGGAGTGTGAAAAGTGAGGACCTGGAGGCAGGATTCAAAAACAAAGCAAGCTATTTACTGGGCTAGAATGAGTAAATCAAAACAGAGTTCTCAGAATGGAATCCAAATGGCAAGAAAATATAGGGATTGAGGCAGGCAGGAAAACAGTACAACGTGAATACTGTCAGACTAAAACTATGTATATACACAAGGTAATGGGGGGATTAGAGACAGCTAAGCTAACACAGGTGTAGACAATCACACAATGGGTCAGAGGAGGAAGTAGAGCCGAACACAATGCGCAAGAGACTATCAAAATAAAACAGAAAAAGTTGAACATGGGAACACTGGGCACAGAGACGGAAGCTAAACCAGACCACAGGGAACATGGGGAGGGGGGTGAATGAAAAAAGAGAAATAGAGTACTAGCAAACTGTAGTAATGAACAGAAACTAGATAGCAAAACTAACACAACAAAATGCTGAATTACTGTGAAGAAAAAGTTCAAGCAGCAAAAGAAAAACAAGAAGCAAACGGAGCAACAAAGACTAAAAAACAAAACAAGACATCCAGTACCATGACTGATATAGATGAAAATCATTCATTCTCATAAGCACATAATAGAAGAGTCTTCTGATTCTGGTAATACCAGTGTTTATTGTTTTCTATGTTACCTGCTTTAGGTCATTATTATTGTAATCCTCCTTTGTAGTTATATTTTTATTCATAATGTATTCCTGCTAATCTGGAGGTTTATGTGTCGATGAAATTTCTTGTTGTTGATCAGATGTGACGGCAGTTACAGTGGGTGGCGTTCATGCGACAGAGGACAATGTTTTCACCACAACAGTCGCCACATCTGGGAGTCTCCCTGAACACGTGCTGGTAGATTAACACACACTTGACTAGATCCATTCCCCTTCTATTTTTGCCATTTATCACATTTTGATGATGATAAACAGTATCTTATGACATTATTTACAGAAAATTGAGGTGACGTTGAATAAAAACCAATTAATGTTAAATGTCCTCAGCACAGAACTGATTCATTTGTGCACGTTAGCACTGTAGCGTTAATTATTAGAACCGAATTCACAAAATCATATGGGCTTCCCTGCTGACTACTCGAGTAGTTTTTTAAAACATCAACATATTCTCATACCTCTTATGCTGCTCCATGATTATGAGTGTATGTACTCCTTCCACATCTGTCACAGAGCGGCAGGACCACTCTCCAGCTGGGTGAAGGTCTCAGTACCCAGAAGGCTACTCTGATTGTGGTTCACACTGACGGCAGCATCGTGGAAGCAGCTGGCCTCAAGTCCGCTGCCACCATCACATCAGGTACACCCCTGTGTGTGTGTGTGTGTGTGTGTGTGTGTGTGTGTGTGT